AAGGTCAGGGGTCCCTTTACCTTTACTAGGTCAAAACCAGCACTTGAATTGGCCCTGGAAACTAATTGACAGCCAGTGCAGTTTGGGCCAGCATCAGGGTAATAGGCTCAAAATGACTTGCTCTGGTGAACAACCTGGCCACCGAATTCTGCACCAGGTGAAGTCAATAGCCTTATTTCCGATGAGTTGGCCCAATCCCCTTTTAAAGCTGTCTTAAGTTGGTGATTATCACTGATTCTTGTGGAATCCAATTCCGTAGATTAATTAGTGAACTGTGTTAGATTACGTAGGTGTATTCTGCAAGAGAAGCATTTATTTGTAGGACCACACATCCAAATAAGCAATCTCTAAATTTTGTACCTTAGAAATTCCAAATATGGGCACCCTTTTTCTTAAAAAACAAAAACAAGCAAACAGATAAGACACACCTGTATCCTTGCCTGCCAGAGGCAAACTTTTAAAGGAAAGATGGCACCTCATATGAAATGGCAAACAAAACACCATACCTCCAATTTACTACCTGCCTTTCTGTCAAAGAACTGCAAACTGTCTAAGTACTTGAATAGGGTCACAGTCAACTTGGTAACTTCCTTTCATGGGTATCTCAGCTTCCATCAGCAGGGTTCCTATGGCGGGGCTTGGTATTTAGTTGCTGTGCAAATAGTGTGGTGAGATTAAATGTTTATACATTTTTTTGTATAAACAGCTCACATTAGCTCGTGTTCATGCCCAAAGAATATGGTTTTTAGCCCCTCTTATGTAGAGCAGTGTTACCAAAAACTAAGCCAATATTTAGAATTATATAAGTTCCATGGTAGTGACTCTGAACCTGGACATATACAAATGTATTCACTCCTGGCACTTTATCTTGTTGCATGTTAAATAACTAGAAAAAGGAATCATGGGAAAAGTTGCAATTAGAGCAAGTATCATTAAATAGAAAATGTCCAAGTGAAGAGAAATGCAAGGAGATAATGCTAGCTCCCCCCACCCTCGGTGTGTCTTTAACATTGTGACCATTAAATTTGTCAGTGAAATAGTCTTTGCATATCATTTGAACTGATAGCTTACTTTGAAAAAGATAAGGCAGTAGCGCTGGCTAAAAAATAATGATGTCAGTTTACTGTTGCTTGGCCTAAGCACTGTAATGTGCATCATAGATTTATTCCAAAGAAAGTATGCCATATCATTAGTTTGGTGTGTATATCCTGCTGAGGTATTTGCAGGGATCCAAACTTGACTTTCATTTTTTTTTTTTTAGTTACCAAGTTGTATCAGAAAAGTACAACGGGGTTGACAGTTTGAGTGTCCACAAATGTTTAAGTCAGAAATAGTATGTCTTGTTTTCATTTGGTATCCATTCTTAGCTGTTAGTAGTAATTTTTGTTTATTTTCGGGAAGGGTGGTAGAGCTTATTGCATAGCATTGGAAGGTCGCAGGTTCAACCCCTGGCAATGTCTCCTGCTTGAAACCCTAGACAGGCCCTGCCACTCAGTGTAGACAATACAGAGCTATATAGAACAGTGGTCTGACTCAGTAAAAGGTACCTTCCTATCTTCTATTCTTCTGCAAGTGCACTTAGTTGAACATAATCCATGCTCATTCCCTACCACAATTTCTTTTTCTTATTGGGGTTTATTTCAGTAAATCCTGTTGTTTCCTAAAATGGCTACATTTCTTTCAGAACTTTCTTCATAAATTCATTTCTTGAATGAATCTTTTCCATCTTTAATGGTACCAGTCAGCTGTTCCCAAAGTTGCTTTGGTGCATCCCATCTGGGCTGCAAGAATCATAGACTCGTACTCTAGTCTAACCTCCTGCAATGAGGAATCTCAACAGTAAGTAGGAGTGGGTGGCAGGAACTACCAGAGAGTAAGACCCATTGGCAGCACTGCAGAACTGTTGTGTTGCAATTGGGCAAGGAAACGAGTGGGAAAAGCCTCTCCCAAGCATCCCTCCTTTGTCACAGCCTGTTTTGAGTTAAGAGTACTGGTAACTATAAAACCACATGATAATTTTCTGTCTTATACTAATGTTCCATTTTCACAGTTTTCTCACAGTGTTTTTGTGGGTCCTTGCAAGTTAAATGCCAGTACAGTGGTACTCTACTTACACACACCTCTGGTTACGTATCCTTCGGGATACGCACGTGGCAAAACCTGAAGTATATTTTCGGGTTTCTCCTCATGCACAGAAGCGCTCTACTGCGTGCATGCACAGAACAGGCACCTCCGGTTGCAAAAACCTTGGGATCCAACTGGAGCTGTGGAACGGATCCCGTCTGCAACTGGAGGTACCACTGTATTTTGATCTTAATGATGTGTAACATTTTTGTCTCAAAGTTAGAACATAATACTGGATTCGCAACAAAATGTTGTAGTGTGGAGTGCTGCTGTTTCGACTTCTACACTATGACCTCTTTAGAACTGGGTGATATATTGCCCAAATTCACTCTCGAGTCTATATCATGATACACATTTCATAATTTTTGACCTGGCAATATATTGCAATTCATGGTGTGTGCATGCTATGCAAAAATCACAATGTGGGAAAAACCTCAAAGACAACCAGTGGCTCGACAAAGCTCCATCCTAAATTCAGACATTGTGATATATCAGTATATTGTGATATTTAGCTGGTGATAATAGTGCATTGTTGAAACCAGGTATCGCCCAGCCCTAGAGCTCGTGGGCTGTTTTTGGAATCATCCCACTTTCCTAACTATTTTTTGTATTTCTGCAGATGGTTAGTGTCCACCAAAGCTTGGTAGTACCTCCCTCTTGCACACGAGTGGTGCCTTTTTGGCTACATAAACAACAGCACTCATAGTCTGGGCATTGTAGACAGAGGGAATGACAGTGTACTCTTGAAGCTCCAGTGCATATGTGGAAAAGTCACTTTAGAGATAGCACATTCAGTAGAACGGGTTCGTGGGTTTGAGCCCTACTTCAGGCAAAAAAGATTCTTGCATTGCAGGTGGTTGAACTACTAGATGACCTCTTGGTCCTTTCCAACTCTACAATTCTATGAATGCTATATGGAAGCTGTTTGATTGTTGTTATTTGTGCTGGGCAACTGTGGGTGATTAGCTTGTGATTAATCACTTTTATGTGCTCAAGATTCTTGTTGTCTGGTGGAAAAAAATCTCTTACATGGAATTCTCCCATACTTTCATGTGAAGTTTAAAAATTATTTCAACTAGGTTTTACTGTATGAAATATATATAAATATATATATAGTAGATCCTAGTATATATATTCGTGTGTGTGTGTGTATGGATCTACAAGAAAAGATTCACTGTAGTTTCGGTAACACCTAGCTTTTATCTAACATTTATAGCATAGTAAAAAGTATCAAAGGAAATCCAGTGCAAAATCTTAACAGCATATAATATGGTCTTCAACATTACTAGAGACTAGAATTCAACAATTTCTTTGCCCACCCCCCTTCCAGTTATTAAAAAGAACACTAAACTTTTCAATTATGTGAGTGTTTAGTGTGTTAGAGAAGAAAAGCTAGTTAGACAATAAAAGGTTTGCCAACTATATTAAACTAATAAAAACCATGCTTTGTCAGACTTTCCAGAAGACTACTTACAGCAGCACCTTAGCAGTATAAATTACTTTATTCATTGATACAGACTTATGTGTAGTCTGATTTCCGTTGGAGATTCTTCATCTCCCTTTTGCACCCTCAGTTTCACCCTCTTTACTTTGAAGGAGAATGCTTACAGAAATTTCTGACATTGGGAAACATGCTTTTTAGTCAATTGAGAGGAGAGGTATTGGCCAAAGAAAACAATTAAAAAATTGTGGTGTGCTTTTACACCATAAATTGTTTTAACTCGTGTTTCTGGATCACAAAAAAGAATGATACAATTTTCAGGATTTGAAAAGAAAAGACTGTGGAACAATTATTATTATTATTATTATTATTATTATTATTATCCTTGAGCATTAATGAAACATTTAATTAAAAACACCAGCTAATTTTAAATGATGGCATAATAAACAAATACTACATTGTGGGCCATGCAGCCACATTTATAGAGAGAGTTTTGTAAACCAATTATATGGATAAGTATCATGGTAGAAGCAAAATTATCAGGTGATATAGGCAACCCCACCTTCTGACAAGATAGAAGTGGAAGGTGGGGGGTGTTGCAGTATTTGCTGCATTTCCAGCACATAAGATTATCTTTCATAAGTTTATACTTACTATCCATTAAAGCTGCAAAATAAATCCAAATACAGAATTAAACAGCTTGCTATTTGTAGCTTTGTGATCTGTCAGCACAAGACTGCTGTAATTGTAGAAATTGTGTCTGTTAAAGTTTTAGCAACTGAACTATGGACTTTGAATCCAGATGGAAAACAGCATTTGTGTGCATGGATAGTAACTTTGGAAATATGTTGTCTGCAGATGTCCCTGGCAGAAACAATATCTAAATGGTTTCCCCAATCTACCGTCAATAACTCTGTAACTGCTTGCAACTGCCAATTGTTATTTTTCTTTTGGGATTTAAAGAGATACTTACTTTATAAGACTTGATGGAAGCCCAAGATAGCCTCATGTGCAGCTTCCACTATACAACCATGTTTCATGCAAAGCTGTTAATAAAGATTTCCATTACAGGCTGCCTCTGCATGTGTGCCTTTCATGCAGCTCTGTTTGATAGTCTATGGTATCCAAAATGTTGTGTGAAAGAGAGCAGACTCCAATTCTACTATGCTGTCCTTCTAAAAAGCTCAGTGCTGTTTAGAAGTTATGAATACTGGCTTCCTTCCAGTGTTCTTAGAATGTAGGAGGAGGTCCAAGGAAAGTAGTGTTTTAGATTTAGGACTGAAAAAATAGGGGCCTCGTGTAGGTAGAGTAGCATCTGAAGGAGTTTCTCTATTTTGCAAACATGTTTCCACTTCATATATTGAAATGTGATAAGCTTTTGCAAGTGCATTGATACTGTAAAATACTCTACTAATAGTCTGCTTTATTTGTTCAGGCAGAAGGAGAAGATAGCCTTAAAAAGATGCAGTTGATGGAACTTGCAATTCTCAATGGCACCTACAGAGACGCCAATATCAAATCACGTAAGTACAACAGAAATGTGGGGGCTTTATATGCGAGGATACTTTTAAGTTGTGTTTGTTCGCACTAGATGGGAAGACAAAATGTTGCCTGTGTTACATATGTAGCCCACTGACCCCTGATAGATCTTGCCATTTCCACAATCTTGATTCCTACACAGAAAACATCTCATGAATGTGCTTCACATGCCCTATCTTGCTTTTCCAGAATGTGCACACTCTCAGTTTGTGTAGTAATATGACACTGCTGTACTTATAATGTCATGGCATCATACAAAGTGAGCAAAGCATGCTGCTGAGAGGATTGGGATTAGGCACATTTCTTTCACATCTTAACTCTCCTGAAGAGTATCTTTAAATATTGATCTAGCTGTGTAAGACCCACTTTTCTTTGAAGGGCTTCTGCATGACTGGGGTTAACTTAGATCTAGCCATGTGAGCAGAGGCTGATTGTATGGTTGCTGGCAAAAGAATTGGCACCTGCAAGGAAGGGTATATATGCCAGTGCTGTAGGAAAAACCCACTGAATCAGCTACCATCTCTTAGTTCCAAGAAGGACCAGTTTAAAAAAGGAAAAAAGTTTTGAAGATATTTAAAATGTAGTTAGTGTTTTCTGTGTAATTATTGGCATGTTTTCCCTTTTTTCAACTTTTCAGCTATGAGTTCAGTTATATATATTTTTTGCAATGGTTCTTAGTTTCATTCAGCATGTTTTCAGAAACTGCATATTCAAGGTTATCTTAAACTAAATGTCTTGCACTAATTGGGTTAGATTTCAGTCATGTTTGAAACATAATTAACGGGCAAATCATTGCACTTTGAGGGTAAGAGTAGTCAGCCTAATCACTAATTGATATGGGCAATAATTTTTCCTGTCACTGCCTTCTTTCATTTAATGAACCACAGTCTCGCATAACAAACCCAACAGAGACTTACATAATGCAACTAAGTTGGCTCATTCTGTTAGCTTTAACACAGAGCTTGTCCAGAGAAAAATGGATTTCTGGTGTGTTAAGGGGACCTAAAATTATTCTTAGGCTTTGATCAGTGTGTTGGAGGCTCCAGATGCATGCATTTAGGAAAACCGCTTTCATTGAAAAGAGGTGAAATGTTAACAAAAAATTATCTTCCTGCTGTTCTAGTGTCTCTTGATATCATCTGTATATGTTTAAACTGTGCTTAAATTTGTTAAAAGAACTTAGCACTGAAATCCTGTCTATACTTGGGAGTAATTTCTAAGTAAATATGTATTGGTTAAAACCTACAAGTCTAATTGATGCATATCCAATTAAAGCTCAGCTGATTTTCAGTGATTTTTGTGGACTGTCTTACAGGTAGATTTGCCAGTAACTGAATTTTTCTTACATTTTAGGCGTGTATCTTGAAGCTTGCTTGGAACATTAGCAGTCCCTGGATTATTTGCTTTCTTTAAGTGGGTGTAGTGGTGGTGATGGGGGGTTCTAGCTGCTGTAGTTCTAGATATAGTGGAAATGTGCAAGCAATTTTATGTTGATGTTTTCAGTAAAGTCGGCTTTATTCCCAGGCACCTCTGGGTAGGGCTGGAAAAGTCTCCTGTCTGAAACCATGAGAGTTGCTTTAAGTCAGTATCAATGCTTTAAGTCAGATCAGTGTTTCTGACTCTAAATAAGGTAGCTTCATTCATATGTTCATATAATTTGAGGGTCTGTACTGTGGCGTGTAGGGAGTTACTCTTAACTAAAGGTAGGGTTAGCAGGTTTTTTTCTCTACCAAATATTTGGCACATAGTGTTATGTTCCTCTGAGCATATGCAGACTGCATTTCCTTGGTTAAGGGAGCTCTTCCTTGTTTACCCAGGTTTTTTTCAGAATCTAATTTCCTTCAATCTGTCTGCCTGCTTTAGGATAGCAGTGGCCCTAAATGTGCTACACTGCCACATTTCTTTTTTATTTTTATTTCAAGCCCTCTCTTCCTCCCAAAATCCAGGGCAGCAGTACAATAAAGTACAATAAACAAAACATTTAAAAATATTTTAAAACTTTAAATCACTACAAGGTTGCCAGGAACAAGGACTTCTACTAGCACAACAGGGCTTTCCCCCCTCTCTCTAAGATGGTTGATACTGAGGGGTAAGCTCCCAGGCGTTAAGGAACTTAGGTCCCAGGGTTTTGAAGGCTTTGTATGCTAGTAACAACACTTTGAATTGGGCAAAGAATCATACTTGCAGCCCGTGTTTTTAGGACCAGTAATACATGGTCCTGTTGGGTTGCCCCACTCAATAACCACACAGTGAGCACATTACAGTAGTCCAGGCAGGATGTCACTAGAGAATAGACAACTGAGGCCAGACTTTCCCAATCCAGGAACATCTATAGCAGGCAAACCAGCCTAAGCTGGGCACAATCACTTCTAGCCACAGAAGCCACTTTGGACTCCATTGACAGGTTGGAATCCAGCAATACTCCCAGAGTGTAAACATGTTCCTTCATGTGGAGTGCAGCCATCCTCCCCCCCCCCCCCCACAAAAAAGGTTGTCTGTCTAATAATTCCTGGACACGGGTACTACCCAGCCACAGTACTTCTGTTTGGTTAGAATTCAACCTCAGTTTATTAGCCCATCACTGCTTCAAGCACTAATCCAACACCTGCACAGTGTCTGCTGATTCAGGTGGAAGAGAGAGATCTGCATGGTATCAGCATGCTGAGGACATCATGATCAAAATCCCCACATGACAGTTCTGGATGATTTCATATAGCTGCTGGATAATGTTGGAGACAGAGTGGTACCTTGCAGGTCCCACAGTTCAAAAGCCATTGGCTGAGCAACCGTGTCCTAGTGCTACTTTTTGGTTGGAGCAGAACCATTGTAATACAGTGCCTTGTAACTTTCACCTCCCTGCATCATTCCAGAAGCACACCATGGATCATGGCATAGAAAACAATGGAGAGTTCAAGGAGACCAGCAGAGTTACACTGCTCTGTCTCTCTTGAAATAGAGGTCATTAGTCAGAGTGTCCATGGCTTTTTCAGTTCTAAAACTAGGCTGGCATGAGTCTAGATAGTATGAACCTGGGCCACCCAGTTTAAGAGTAGAGAGCAAGTTTTCCCCTCTCCACAGAGGAGAGGCTTCTCTTCCATTCTCCTCTATAGAAACTAAGTAGGCTGGCAAAATAGGCCTTTCTCTGCTAGCCCTTCTTATGAGTAAAAAGCAGGCTAGCAAACATTTTGTAGACTACCAACTTTTTGGCTGATTTACCAGGCTGATCTTCGAGTCCGACCTGCCTAGGCTGTTAAAGTAAACAATACTAGGGTAGATGAACCAGTGTCATAATTCGTTATGCTGCTACATGTTTTCATAGTTGTGCCAGTCACCTTAGGGCCTATTCCTTCACTATGAGTGAGCACAGTGTTTGTGTGTTTGCATTTGCTTCACAGCATGCACATGCCCAACTGTACTACAAATGCAGCCACTACTACCATGTGGCGTTTAAAAAAGCAAGTATGTGCTGTAACAGCATACATATATGACTAACAGCAAGAATGATTCAGCTGTATTTTACTGCGCCCCCCCCCCACTTTTCATGGTTCCATTCTGGCAACTGATTGTTGATTGTTGTTAGCCGCCCTGAGCCCGGCTTTGGCTGGGGAGGGCGGGATATAAATAAAATTTATTATTATTATTATTACTGGCCACAAGGATAAAATTCAGACCAGGCACCCTTAAACGAGAGGTATTGTATAAAATTGATGCAGGTGTTAATGTTTTTTTAGTAAAGGCAAACCTTGCAAGGTGCTTGTTGTCTGGTTGGTTCTAGCATAGGGTAATTTAGATATGAATATAGATATAGATACAGATTTAGAGGCACCCCAACAGCACTGTAGCTAATCTGTTCTTATTCTATTTACTGTTTCATACCAGTATGCCTAGCACAGGGAAGGGGAGCGCATAACGCTCCAAATGTTGCTAGACTCAAGCTCCCAAAATCTCTAGCCAGCATGGGCAATGGTCATGGGAACTGTAGTCTTGTAACGTCTGGAGGGCAAAAGGTTTCCTAGCCCTTGTCTAGTATATAAACTAACTATATCAAGATCAGTCCTGCACCTGAGGTAGGTCCTCTTAACAGAAGTGAATGGAATTAAAACAACAACAGCAGGATAGCTCTTGTAAACTCCCATCTAGTCATATATCTTTTACGGGCTTCGGTTGACCTAACTTTGAACCAATGTAGTCTAGCCTAGCAAGGCCTGGTCATTTGGTTCTCTAAATAACACCATGATAATTCTCTCAGAATTACAACTTAAGAATTCTCTTTAGGGCTTTCCTTTTATTATTAGGTAACTTCCTAATGATCAGGAGTCAGGTGGGCATGTTTCAAGCTCTCACTTTTCATAGGCCCAGCTGGGGCAGAAGTAGCATACACTCCTTATGATCTGGCCAGGCTTCATTCACTTGTATTGGTAAAGGTAAAGGTACCCCTGATCGTTAGGTCCATTCGTGAATGACTCTGGGGTTGCGGTGCTCATCTCGTTTTACTGGCCGAGGGAGCCGGCGTTTGCCCGCAGACAGCTTCTGGGTCATGTGGCCAGCATGACTAAGCCGCTTCTGGCAAACCAGAGCAGTGCACGGAAATGCCGTTTACCTTCCCACAGGAGCGGTACCTATTTATCTACTTGCACTTTGATGTGCTTTCAAACTGCTAGGTGGGCAGGAGCTGACCCCATCGTGGGGTTTTGAACCGCCGACCTTCTGATCGGCAAGCCCTAGGCTCAGTGGTTTAGACCACAGCGCCACCTTCATCCCTTACTTGTATTGGTAGCATGTTTCAATCCTGTTCAATGCCACAGGATGTGTTCCCTCATTCAGATACTTGGGGAGGCAACGACAGCAGAATCTGTGTGCAGAGTGACATGGCTGCCTAGCTCATGTTTCAATGGATTTTTTGTTTTAATTGTTCCTCCATACAAAAGATTAAGGCTAAGAAACTTTTAAAATGTTGATACAAGATAAAAAAGTTATTTGTACATCTTTCTCTGAATCTCTGAGGTGATATTAGTAAGGTATATTGCATATGTGGTACTGGGAAACTGACCATGGAATTTGACAATTTTAGAGTTTTGTTTTGTGGTACTACTATTTTTTGTATTGTGACCTAGGATGTGAGCAACTAAAGCCAAGAAGGTGCTAATGAGTTCAGTTACTACCCACCCAATCTGTAGCTGCTGTGTTCTAAAGAGTTAGAAAGGGAAATTTAGGTCATTTAAAACCTAAATCCAAGATAACTATTTTGATGTATCAATGACTTACTCCCAAGTAAGCAGACACAGGATTTCAGTCTAAATATTCTGCTGAGTCAAGGTTGTTCCTGTCTTTTCTAACCAAACTTAGGTTTTCCATACTAAAAATGGGATGTTTTGGGAACTGTGTACTAACACTAAAGGTTCAAGGTCTGAGAGAAAAGCAAAGAGCTTCCCCCACATAACTGATTTTTTTTACCATCACATAACTGTGTTTTATTAGAAAAGTCGAACCAGGAACAGTAAAACACTGTAACCTGCCACTTCTGTCCTAAATATGTTCTCCTGTGCTCTTAGCAGACTGAATTTCAGGTCACTCTTCCATGACATGAGCAAATAGTTGGGTATTTTTCATTGGTCCTTTCCTAACTTTTATTTATTTAAAAGATTTATACCCATTTCCCCTTCCACAAAGGAGTCACTTAAAGCTGCTTACAAATGAAGAGCAAACACAAAAGCATTAAATATAATCACTAAAACATAAATTAACAAAACTAAAAACAGCAAAAACACTTAAGAGTCTCATTGACAATACATTGAGCAGCAACAGAATCAAAAGTAGATTTTAAAAAGCAAGTGTTTATGTGCTGGTGAACAAGAAAAAGGAAGGTAACGTAACCTCTTGGGACAAGGAGGCACCACCACAGAAAAAGCTCTCTTATGTGTTGGTTACCTACACATACAAGACAAAAGCAACAGTTGATCTTAACAGATGGGCAGATGAACACAAGAATAGCTTGATTTCAAGTTACTTTGAACTTTATTGGTAAAAACCAGCTCCTTGAATTGCATTTGAAAACCAGTACAAGCCAGTGCAGCTGATACAATAATGAAGTCACATGATCATAGAGCACTTTGCCCTGTTAAGATTTTAGCAGCAGCATTCTGCACCAATTTGAGAGTGCTTTTAAACTGCAGCCTCTCAGAAGCATGTTGTTACCAGGTCCAAAAGGCTCCCCAAAAAGCGAATTGTAGACTAAATATGATTAACAATACTTAATCACTGGACATTATGTTCTGATGAATCAGTAAAGCTACGCTTAAACACTAAGTGAATTTAAAAACAGTAACAGCATTATGTATTAACAGCACATTTACACATCTTAACTTGCTTGTTTTTTTTAAATACTACCTGAGTCTATTTTTCTAGCGTTCATACTGGCATTTAAGAAGAATAGAGGAAGAGAGTTTTTTTGTAGCTAACTATACCAGAAAGGCAAAAGTGTTGATGCTGAAAGTAGATAAATGTTATAAATAAATGCTGATGTTTGTATACTAAATAGAATGTTTTTATGATGAGTTGCAATTTAAACATGTTACATTGTATGATATCTAAGCTTAACTGAAGTTCTGTGGACTCTGTAATCTCACTTTTTAAAATATTCCATATGCAATTACAACAGTATTTTCTTTGTTTCCTGCATGCCTCTCAGTCTCATGCAGTCTTGAAGGCATAGGTAATGAAAAAATATGTGGTCTAAATTGAGCTTTTGTGCTGTGTAACCTGTTTTAGAAATCTCCTCTACCATTTTAAATTGGCTTTTGTTTTGCATGTTCATACTTAATCACACTGGGAAATGAAAAGCTGTTTGCTTTTGAATGGTGTGCTTTGCCACTGTGTGATCAATGCATGTACTAATGATTTCCTTTTATTTTTCTTCTTTCCTATTTTCCTACTTTCTCATCTTTCCATGTTTTGCACTGCTGTCTCCATACTTTCTTCTAAATTTCTTTGCTTACTGTAGCAGCCCTTGCCTTTTCTCTTGCAGCAACAGCCCAGGCTCCAAGGATTATTACGGGGCCTGCGCCTGTTCTCCCACCAGCTGCCCTGCGTACCCCTACGCCAGGTGGCCCTACCTTAATGCCTTTGATCAGACAAATACAGACCGCTGTCATGCCAAATGGAACTCCTCACCCAACTGCTGCAATAGTTCCCCCAGGACCTGAAGCTGGTTTAATTTACACACCGTATGAGTATCCCTACACACTGGCTCCTGCTACATCAATTCTTGAGTATCCTATTGAACCCAGTGGTGTATTAGGTAAGTTCCTCCTAGATAATTATTTGAATATTAATTTATCAGGTGTGAGTTTCTTACACTAAGATAAATATAGTATGAGGAAACATACTATATTGTACAAGCACCTTTTTGCCTCTGATGATGTTATCAGAGCATATTGGGCAACTTGGTGAATTTTTCATTGGCATTTGTTTCGTTTCACCATGTCCCCTTTTCAGATTTTGAAAATACCATCAATTTAAACATAGTTCAACTCTTTCTTTGGTAGCATCATGCTTCTTTACGTTACAAACAACTAGATTTAGTTGGAAAAGATAGTTGGCATCCATCTGTCCCAAGAGACAATGGAGTGCGCCTCCAGAGATGAAGTCAAACCTCTGGAGAATCACAGAGCATGCTGTGGCTGAAGAAGCTGGTAACTCGTAACTGCTGCCTCCCACATTGTTTTTGCTGCATTAGCAGTACTGAAGTGACCTTTCTGGGGCACAAGCCTGGACAGTGCGTATGGAGGCCCTGGTCTGCCCAAATGACAAGCCCTCCACTCTACCTTGCTGATGTGGTCCAGAGGAAAGCACAGCAATGTGTTTGACACCAAATTGGCTTCAGAAGTTGCTGGATGGAGGCATACAAGATAAAATTATAGAATTTTAGAGTTGGAAGTAACAAGGTACACTGAAATGTGAAAAATAGTCACAATTTTAGATACATATATACTGAAAGAGAGGGTTGAAGGATATTTTAGAATTCTCTGACACAGCCTGTGCTGCATATCTCTAATTATTGAAAAAGGCACCGTCTCGTTTTTGAGACTGGGCACAGAGGAGGGTGGGAAACCACAAGTTAATACTAAATGGGCTGCCCCAGAGATGCAAGTAAGATAACTTGCCCTGCTTTTCTAGGGACTAGGAAAATATGTATCTCTTTTTACTGTGCCACCAATTTTAAAGTAATTAAAATCACTGAAGTTAGGTGAGAACATAACTTAAAAGAACTTGCAAATTAAAACATTACTGCCTCCTTTTTTCCAGAGGAGATTGAAATGTCTCACATTCCTGATACTTTGGTCTGTTCATTTGCTGGATGAAGGCCAGACTATAGCAGCAATTAATTAAGAAATGGTCAATGCAGGCATTGCAGGGCAGTTTGTGTCCTTCCCATGATTTTGAATATATTTTTCTGCCTATATTTTGTGTGAAATATGTATGGCCTTGGCATTGCTGATCTTGTTGATTTATGGGACTTTGGTTGCTAACTTTGGGTCAGCAATAGTGTTTTTCACATTCTAAGAACATAATCCAGCCAAAGTTATGCACATTTTAAGTCTGTTTGATTTGAATCTCTATTTAAATCCCTGTTAAACACTTGTGCTGGAATCAATGAGACTTACAAGTGCTTAACTTTGGCTGGTTCATATCTAAACAGTTACTATGTTGAAAGTAGTGCTCGTTTACAGAAGAATAGACCTTGTGTGTCTGTATGCACAAGCTCACATCTTCTTGGTCATAGGAAGAGAACATTAAGCACTCAAGTTTTTGCTTTTCATTGTTGCCTCTACTTTTGTAGAACCAATTCAGCTCTTCACAGTGCTTTGCCTTTTATCTTAGCCCTGATTTTGAATTAATGACATCTACAATGTGGTGCTTTGGGGCAATTGGTACACTAACTTTTCCTATATTCTTTTCTCTTCCTTTGCAAGTCTTTTTTATTTCAGATGCAGACCATCTTTTCAGGAGCAATATTAGTAGTTTAGCCCCACATTCTGTCACCGGTAGCAAATCTCTTTACATGACTTCATCCAATCCTAACACTTCTGTGGTATGGATTACTGGAAGTCATGCATAACAAATTGTAAATGTAGCAGTTCCATAGGCATTAATCTAGCCTAATCCATAATCCATTATTAGCTTAGTTTTGGGGAGCAGACTATTGGTAATCATAATAATTGCAGTCTATAGTAAAAGATAAAGCATTGTACAGTATTATAGTAAGGAAATAGGTGAATTACTTTTAGCTGACCTCAACCCCTCCCCTCCATAGACTATTTCAATTTAACTACTAGAATTGTGTGGAAGTACTAATTTTACCTATGTGGTGAATTCAGAGTAATCAACCAAACTTAAAGCTTTGTAGGTGCCATAACACATCCAATTTTCTCGCTGGGGATGGGCACAGAATTAGAGCCATGTTTGTGATTCGAGAGAGTATGTGAAGAATGGACTGCAACATTGAGACAATTGGGAAAAGAAAGTTGCCCCTGGTCTGGGACAAATGTATACAGTGCTACTAGGTGAAAATGCAAAATGGGAGCGTTGAAAAATGAAGTTAGCCTCATTGATTTGAGTGGCACATAATAGACCCACATGCGATTTGCAGTAAAATGGTGACATACTGAGATAATATAAAGTACTGAAAAGATTGATTTAGGAAAAATACTTGATAGAGGAAAGGAAGATTGGCAATAGTATCAAATCTTAGTTGACTAATGTTTCATTCCCTTCCTTTTATCTTTAGGTATGGCTTTCCCAACGAAAGGCTAAGAATTCAAGAATGGTCTTAACTGAACCCTCGTCAGAGCTGACTTTAACAAATGCTTAGTTTTCAGCAGCCTTGAAAAAACATAGCCTAGCAGTCAGTGACTTACTTGCACTTTTTTGCACATAGAAATAAAAATGCTATTAATTTGGTATAGCCTGTACTATGACAAACTAGCTGTGATTTATGAGTGTATGGTAGTATACTGACTGCTATGTATTCTGTACTATTTGCTTTACTAATCACCTAATTCATTGCAGTTCACAGTTATTGACTTAGTTTTAAACCACAGTCTGTAGGCTTGAGGAATTGCTTTAAAACTTTTTAAAATGGTAAAAACTGGAAGTTGTTTTAAAATTAGCAAAGAATCTTCAGTATTAAAAATGGCATTATTTAAGGTAGTCCTGCTGCAAGGAAGGCACTTCAGTGAATATGTGACTAGTAAAGCTCAAATGTGCTTGGGTCTAGTAGATTTCATGAAACTGTAATCTTGAGTTTGTAAATGAATGGATAATGCAGGTTAAGGCCCGGATGTTTAAAATAAATGCAATATTAATCTGCACAGGTATACTTCATATATTAAGATTAAAATTTGAAACTACTGTGCCTTAACTTGTTGCTTTCTTAAAATGAATTTTTTTTTTAGAAAGTGATCATTTTAAATCCATTTTGATAAGCCTGCTGTTAATGTTTTATCAAATGTTTTCTAACTGTCTTGGTAATTGCAATTTAACTAGGTGCGGTGGCTACTAAAGTTCGAAGGCACGATATGCGTGTCCATCCTTACCAAAGGATTGTGACCGCAGACAGAGGTTAGTTTAGTTCTGCAGTTCTTGCTTATAAGAAATGCTTTGAGTGTACATGAAATTTGCAACACCACAGCTGGTTAACCAAATACTATTTTGACCATTATATTGATGTTTTACATTAAATTGAAGTGCTAGTAATATTTGTTCCAGAGGTTTAAAATTGTTAACTACTGTACTCTTTTCATCTAAATGATTTTTTTCTTTAAAAAAAACCTTCAGTGTATTCAATATAAAATGCTATAACTTGTTCCTTTTGTAAGCACTATGTATGATTTAAATTCAAGCAGGACTGAAGTCTTAGTATTGCATTAATAGTTGACCCTCCCATGTGACTATTATTAATTGGAGATATCAGATTGGTGTTGCAAAATAAAATGAATGGATGGGCGCTTAATGAGATAGAAGTAAATGCTTTCTTATTATTACAGGAGAAAGCTGAAGATTTAGTTTCCTCTCTTCTGATAAATGGTTTGTGCACTGTACTGTAACTTGAGCAGATACCTGAGAACAAAACCTGTCTCTAAATTTAGCAAAACAAAACGAAAAAAACAACAACAGTAAAATTGATATATCAGAAGTTGGTTAGGGTTTGTGCTGATAAAGAATATTTCACTTCTGTTAAAAAATATAAATTTTTAGTTATATCATTTGATGCTAAAATTTATTTCTTGAACTTGTTACAATTTTGACATTCTGGTTAGCAAAGACAACTGCTTTTGGACTCTGTTTGGCTTAGCTAACGGATGGAAAATAAATCTTCATTTTCTCCTTTTACATGAAATGTAATTCATGTTCCTTGAACTCTTGGACCCGTGAATGGTTTAATTCTCCTGTGAAAAGTGAGCTCTCGGTTTATTGACATTGAGTATGCTACTGGCAGTAGTGTGACTATGTATTCTCAGGAGCATTTATCCCACATGTAGTATCAGCTTGGTTTGTGGATTTGATAAGTAGCAGTACTGCCTGTTTCCATAGAAATCCTCCTTCCCTACCTCACAGGGGTGTTGTGGGGCTTAATGTGTGTTGTACAGTTCAGAAATACAAACTAGAATGGAAGTGTTGAATTGCAGTGCTTGAGGTATAAGAGTTTTCTGTAGGTTTGATACATTTGATAACATTCAGGTAATGGCTCTTTTATCTACTTGCAAGACTTAGAAGGTTGTATAACACCCTATGAGCCTTTTCATACATTTAACCTGTTCTTGGGCTCATACCAAAGCAACTCAGTGTTACTACAAACATTCCAAACCAGAGTAGTAGTTGAATAATCTGGAGCATTTCTAAAATGCTACAACAGAATTAATATAGTTTCCCTCAATACATTACTTAGTTATGACAAGCTTCTTTTGAACAATCTTTCCCCCTACCCTACTTTCTCATCACATACAGATAGTGTGCCTTTCCAGTTCTATCTTTGTTAGATTGCCCAAATGTGAGTATAATATTTGAACAGGGTGTACATGCAGGGGAAGAAAAAGAATGCACATAGGCCCAGTTCACTTGGTTCACATATTTGAGGAATGGGGTAAATTACATGATTCTGCTTAACGCAATTATGTGGATTTTACATGCTTGTACACTATTAAAGTGTTATTAACATATAGGGATGTGAAAGGATGCTGGAAGCAGGACAGCTTTGTCCGGTGAATAGGGTGGGAAGGAATAATTTCACACTCAATTGCTGGTAAAGAAAAAAGGTAGCGGAAAGTATTGTTGAACTCAGCCACAGACTGTCCTTGTTTCTGTTTTTTGCAGCTGGAAAGTTTGAGCATTTGGGTACTAATACAGACAGCCACTTACTTTTGCTTCTAACTAGATGTGGCTGTTGGAAAATATTTTGTAAGTTTTTTTGGTCAGATTTTGGCTTCAAGTAACTTGAGGATGTAGCATCAAGGTTTTTAGTTTTATTAACTATAGTCTTGGAATTGGAATTCCTTTTAGTAGCAAGGGCTCCCAAAGTGCCTTCTCAATTATAACTACTATTTTATATAATATAAGGAGGTGAAGGTGACCTCCTTAACGTTTTTCCTTCAGTGCTTATTTGCTAATGGTGCTATATGATTCAAAAATAAGTGTAATTATTTTACACTGTAGGTAATTTAAGATTTCATAAAACTAATATAGTATTTGTGTTCATTTTAAGTTGCAGTAGATTTGAGTGCTACACCTGTTTCTCTCAATAGGATTGTTGTGTGCATATATTGGTATTTTGTTTAGATTTTATTTAACTGCTTCCATACAACCAACTTCTAAGTTAAAAGAAATTTCACTTTTTGAACATTTCCATTATGCTAAAATTAGTGGGCACTTTCTATTTACACTTGCTGTGGATTTATAATACTTTGATTACCTGTCCAATATTGATGGTAGTTAAAATACAATGTCAGTAAACCGAATTGCTTTCTCTTCATAAGGAAAAGCTGCAAGAAGATGAGAGGCAGAATGTACATTCACTGGGTCTATGATTAAACTTTTTTCCAAATTATGTATGCTACTATTATATTCTCTCATTAAGCAAGCTGTTATTCTTAATGCTGGCTTACATGTAAGCATTGCATTCAAAGCAAGAGCCCACAATTTGTCAGCATTCTTTTTCTAAGTTTAGAATGGAAGAATTCAGCAGTACTTAATTAATTTCTGCCAAGGTTAAGGCCCCGCTATATAAATAATACAAAACTGAATTTGATTCATGTAACGAGAGTGACTGACTGATCTAATTGTAATAAACTGTAAATGGTGTGTGTTGCACAGTTGACAAACCTGTGTGTACTGTAGAAGGCCAGGGACTTGGCAGAGGATGTATCACAGGTGTACTGGTATCTTAAGATAGCTTGCATTGATTTTATAAACCACAAAAAATGGCAATGCTAAGGCCATAACTGAATGTTTTCAAAGCCAATTGTCACATAATTTATATCTAAAATTTGTAATACCATTTTAATCAAAATTGTAGTAAGTACCAAGAATGCTTTAAGATTCCGGATATCTAGTATACATTTTAAGGTGGCAAGATGGTGCCACACTAAATATTTATTTTTTAATTTTGTTTTTATTTTTTGACAACATTTTTAGCTTAAACCCCACTTCTCAGCATTTTTTTCCAAACAAAATCAATAAATCAGGGAACATGAGGTCTCATTTAAGTTACAGCAATAATGTTTAGTGTTCATGAACTGTAGCCTAAATGATAGGCCATAGAAACAATGTAACATGTGAAGATGAATCCAACCCATGATGTCTGTCATTAAATAGTGTGCTATCTGTGAACATTGCACCTACTGAATTTCATTTTACAAAATGGCACAAATCTGACTTTGCACTGAATACCTTTCTCACTTCCATCTCCTCTGCTTTAGTCAATGGCAACAGTACAAATATTTTTTTCAAACCTCAATTTATTAGAGATGATAAAGCTGTTGAATGAGTCTTAAAATTTGTACTACTGTAAAGTGGACCAAGTTGTTGAAGGAGAATGTGAGAGAGTCATTAAAGAAGGAACAGCTCAAGAACATTGGGAATGATAACTTTCCACTTGAGAACTTTTTTTATGTTTTACTGTAATTTTTGTGTGTGTTTTGGAAAAGAAAATAGTATTTACAGGTGGCTTCTTTTAAAATATAAAAATATAAAGCAGGAATGTATATGAAATGTCAGATTTTATTGTATTTGCAGAGTATTAGCTTTGAAAAAAGAGCTGTTTGTAGTTTTTAAAATGCCTTATTAGTATCAATTAGATTTCCTCTATTTTTGATGTAACTAGAGCATTTTAAGTATAGAATTTAAAATGGCAGGACTTTTACAGTGTTTACATACAAGTGCATTTTCTTAGTGTCCTATATGTGTAAAATAGCATTTTCAGCAGGAAAAGCTGGCTAGAACATTTGGCCTTTTCCTGGTCCCTATGATGATGCCTACACTTCTAGACTTCAATTTAGTATTGCTTTGTATCATGAAGCCAAGAAATTCAATGTTGTTTGTAAATAGAATCATTGAAAAGCAATAAAATATATTGAACAAAAAAACTTGTTTGGCCCATAGTTTATGTGAAACCAAATTGTTCATGACAAATCAAATTCCTTAGATTCATTTCTTTTAACAATCAGTTTTTAATAATCACATTCATCATTACTACTTGCTTTGATGCTTGCACATGGGAGAATACTAATGCTTAATAGCAGTCAGATACTGATATGGTGCACTGACTGTTCTAAATTCTTTTACCAAGTTCCAAAAACTGTTCATTGTTTTTCCCCCCCTTTCATCGACTGCTACTAACCATTAGATATATTTTATTTCTATTTTTCCTCGTTAACCAGTTTTGTGGGAGTGGGCTTCTCCTTCATATGTTCAAATCATGATAGAAGGCTGTCATGATTTTTATTGCATTCTGTAGATGGTGTCAAGCAGTATGTCAGAATTAAACATGCTTGTTTTTATTAGTTGTGATTAGTTTTCATGTTGTCATTAAGCCGTCACTAGCTGAAACTAATCTCTTCTCTATCTTTCTTTCCTTTTTGTTTTGTTTTTGTTTCTAACCACCCAGCCGCCACCGGCAACTAACCTATGACCTTCTGACCTCTGAACTCTTCACCCAATGATGACCTGACCATGCCTGCCTGCTGATCAGTTAACTGGTAATCGCCTTTGCTTGCCTGTCTTCAGTGCAGCGAGCTGAGGCACTTGTCCGTTCGTCTTACCATCTAACAAAAAGACAAAGAAATTGTTGTCCTCCAACTCAGCTTTTTTTCCCTGTTTGGGTGAAAGTGGTTCTAGAACCTGCACTGAATAGTAGTAAAGCAATAAGGTCCAATTCATCCCTCCGCACTGATCATCTTTTAGTGTCCCACCCTAAATGAATGGTAAGAACGGCCTCACTTGAGAGATGGAGGCAGATGTCCCTTAACTCCCTGATGACAGAGGCAGTTACTGTGAGACTTCTAGGAATCTTTTTCTTCTCATAAAGAAGTCAAAGTTCTCTTTGAATGTACTGTGTGATGATGCATCATGCATGAACCTTTGGTCAGGGATGTCATTGGTGAAGGGATTCCTAAAAGTATTCAAAATTTGACATGCAGTGTAGTCACTACCAATGCCCTCAAAGGGCAGAAGATGCAGCCTTTTTTATATTACCTGCCAAATTGGGTGTTTTTAAGAAGAAAAAAAGTGCCATGAAAGATAGGTTACTGAATTTTTGAACTACATCAATGCATAAAACTAAACAGCAACACTATTGAAGCTAATCCTGAGATACTTTCTTTTACTATACATCAACTTCCTTAAAAGATTACATGAGTACAAGGTACATGCATTATGTGTCACATTACTGGGCAAACTGTTCAAATATTTTTTTAAACCTCCCTGTATAGAGAAATTTCATTAAGGATGTAAAAGCCATGCTTGCCTATTTGCTGTATACATGTAATGAAATTGTAGATAAAGTGTAGTGCATTGAAACAAATTGAAAAAAAGTAGATACTTTTACTATACAAGGGTGCTGGTGCAGAAAAAATATATTTTTGGAAATGTAGCATTTTATACTTTCAAGTGTTATAAAAAAGAAAAAAGAACAAAGAAACCCTTTATTTCATTAAATGATTTTTTCTGGTGGTTGTCGAGAAACAAAAGACCAAAAGAGCCTTTTTGTCTTTATTTTTTATTTTTTAAGTATTGGAATAAGTATAAAGAAGAGAAAGTGCCTTATTTTCTTCATGGTCATTTAGTCAGATGTCTCGTATAATCCGCTCCTCCCTCAGACAGCAAGTTAATGCATGCCACTCTGTCGCCCAGTATGTGAAAAGAAGCTGTGAGGAAAGACAAATGAGTTGACCATTTAAATTACCTGGTTTTTGCCATAGCATAATGCAACTTTGTCAGATCTGAAACTGTGAAATGGAATTGTTCCACCAACAGCCAACCGCAATATTTTTGTAACATGTTCCCTCTTCAATTGTAGACAATATATTTTTATAGTACTTGCTCAGCCTTAAACCAAAGGGTTCTAAGATGCAGTCTCATTCTAAATCTAAGTATTAGATTACACTATTTATACAGTAGCAAGTGTTATACCCCCCCCCCGCCCCCGGAATAGGTTGCATTGTCCCTATTTGAAATAGATATGGGAAAACACAGCAGAACGTGAACTTGCCTACAGGATGATTTTGTCCATGACTAAACTGAGCATTCAGACAGTCTGTCTTTGAGCATGTTTTAGGTTTTTGTGTGCTTCATCTACAATGCCAAATAGTGTGTACTCCTCATCAAACTCCTACTTGATGAATGTTAACTGCCGGTTGCGCTTTACTGAAAAGGAAAAGAAGTATCAGTTAACTATCTGGAAGTTCAGCTATGCTTAAGTTTGACTCAGTAAACATTTGCATAGCTGTGCTAGTGGTGATAAAACACTTTACGCACAAAGGTGAAGTAAAAAAAAATATGAGCAAGTAGTGATACGTTAATTGCTTTGAGCAGATTTGGCAAAGATCAGGTGATAACCCCCCTCCATTGTGTCAACTTATTATCCTAAAAATCTTCACAGCTTCCAAATCAAAGGTCAATAGTAAGTTAGGTAAGAGGGCTTACTTTTTAAGCACCTGCATGGTGACTTGGTCTAACCATTGTGTCTCACCTGGAAACAAGTATCAATTTATTTACTATGCAATAAACATACATCCTTTTGTATTCAGCTAGCTTTTATTTTATCTTGCCACTGGCTTTGTCTTCCTGTTACACATAGGTTTTTTGGTTTGACTTTCAGTATATGCTGTGCCATTTTGATTTTTGTTTGGTTGAATAAACTTGCAACACTCAAAAATTTTGGAGAATTGCTAAAACATAACTAGTATTTGATCCAGTTTCATCTCAACTATGATAAACCTGGACATTTTTAGATGCTGATCAAAGGTCTCTTCTTGGGAGAAGTGTGACTTATAAAAGTAATGTTTGTTCTGAAAAAGTTTGAAGACTTAGTTGACAACATTTTGGATCAACTTAAAGCATGACATTTGAAATCTCTGAATGCCTTGGTTCTCAGTATTATCATTCTTTATTGAATTTTTCTTTATTAAAGTATGTAGTTTAAGACTTTTTTCTGACAGTATTATGTAATTTTTTTTAGAGTGGGTATACATACATCGCTTGTATGTTACCATACAGACGACATGTATTTGTCTATTCCTTTTACTTTAGTTTGATGCTATGTATGTACCATAACCAACCTATTGCCTATGAGAAACATGTAAGATAATGTATTTACAGCCATTGTTACAAGTTTATAATGTATTTTTCTATCTTGTTTTATATGTATGTTATATAACATTCAGAAGAATTTTTTTCCTGATTGAGAAAAGGATACAAAAATGCAAAACCCACAATTTTGATAACTGAAAATTGCCAATTGTTTTGCAGTACTTTATTATTATATTGGGAGTGTTGTCTTTGGGCTTTTAGTTAGCTACTGGATTGAATACATTAGACATATCTGGGTTTTAGTTGGGTTTTTACATAGCTTGCATTTTAATTCTTTGGTTCTTTGCTGTTTCTATTAACCCATAGCATTATTTTAATAAATGTTATAATACCAACCTACTAACTCTGGACTATGTCAGTTTATTAACCATTACATGTTTAATTAAAATAAACAAGGAAAGACGGAAGAATGTAAAGTCTTGAGTTATTGGACTAACCCTGAAGAACGTGACCACCGATAACACAACGTGACTTGTTTTATGTTGTTTGTTTGGCTGACATTCTGCACACTACTATTAAATTGGCTTTGGTCATTCTGGCCTCTTACCTTGGGGGTAGGTGCCAATAGAGTTGGGAACAAGTAGCATTATTGGAGGCATTCTTGTAGAGTCTTGCCACTTGCCTTTCAGCATCTGCATTACTAATTCCACACTTTCCTTCTCTGAAATAATCACTGTCAGCTCACAGCAAAAGGGCAAAGATACCAATCTATTGGTAAATTATGTTATGTGCCCAGAGGAACCAGTTTGATTCTTTGTTGAGCCATTTTGAAGCTACACAAATTCAGTGTGATTTGAAGCACTGATTAAAAGGACAATTCAGCAGACATCTCAATATGTAACTCTCCTGTGTTGTTCATGCTTCTGAATGTATTTGAAGCAAGAAACTTTTCACCCCTTACTCTAGCAGAATCTGCCTCTCTCCCTTGTACATGAATCTAAATTACTTTCACTGTGACCCTGAAGGGGTTTAAGTTGCAATCCTCAAACTACATAATTCTCAGGTAATTGTACTGACTTCAAGCAGGTTGCTTCACAGTAAACAGCTTGAACACTGTAGCTTAACTACTTTTAGGATTGCGGGTTTTTAAATCTACTGTAGTGTTTGAACACCACTTAGCTCAGGGCAGTACAAAGCTGTACAAAGTCGAATAGGTCATTTTGTAATAACTGCAAAATGTAAATAAACTCTTTAGTAGGAGGTCTAAAGTTGACTGTTACCAAGGGATAACTTTAGCAATCAGAGTTCAGAGAAGCAAGCTGTAGTAAGTTACTTTCAATGAACTTCATTCTACTAGGAAACAATTGTTAAGAACTTGGGGTTATATCCCCAAATTCATCCTATTTACAGAAGGACTACAGCTTGTGCAACCGAATTTCTCTGTCTTGTCCCATGTGTACCTCTTCTGGGAAGTTTCCCTGTCTCTCCAGAGCATGCTGTGGGGGTGCATGGAGAGAGGAAAGGGGGAGTTCCATTGCACAATCAATGTCCTTGTGTGAAAATGGGGTGACTTTGTTCGATACAACCCATTCTTTCGGTGGCCTATTCATAGCTGCTATGTTAATTACATTTGTTTATTACTCATTTGAAAACAAAAATGATTTTGTATAGACAATGACACCTGAGTAAATAAATCAGTTTTAAATATACCCATTAAAATATATGTAACTGAAGCATTATACGTCAGTTCCACCACATAATAAAAACAAAATCCCATCTATTAGATAGAGGCTATGTTAGGACAGATTGATACATTTTAAACATATTCAAGGATTCTTTATGAATAATATAATAAAGTAGAAAATACTGAAATCCAGAGTTTTAACTAGATAATACTCAATATTTGTGATAATATGAAAGTTTGCTCTTAAGTATAAAACAATAAAAGGGTGTTTTGTAATAAAGGTTGATAACCCACTTCAGTATTACACCAATATACCTGTCATCAATATGCTTCAGTGGTCAACAAATGTTAGCCTTGACCCATGAGTTGTATTCAACACTACATGAATGGAACAGACTTTGCTTGTGTGGTTTCATGTCACCTTCATTTTCTATCCCATGCAACCTTCTACACACCCTAAAAATTGCTCCAGAGGGTTTGGGGAAGGCGAGAAGTCCTGCTGTGCAAGTGGATGTCTTCCCTTGCAGCACTGGTTGCATACCCACTTGTTTGAAGCCACAACCAACATTAATATTTGCATAATATAGAACAGTGAGACACATTTTTAAAATAAGAATAGTAATAATAACCATGGCTTGTTTTATGGTGAGAAACCAAACCTTCCTGTGAGCTGGAAGAAAGGATTTAATTTGTATGTGAAGGCAAAAGGCATATGTAATTCCAATGACAAATGCTCATGCCTGTTGAGCCCTCCTGAGTGTGGAGGGGCTTTTGAAAGAGCTGCCATTCAATGGAGTTGGGAAGCACCCATGCACAAGCACAGCACCTCATAAATCAGGATCCTTGCCATATAGTTCCTTGAGATGGCACCTTATGTATTTAATTTGAAATTGGAGTTAGGCATTATTTCTAAAGACTTAAATCACATTTTAAACACTGCTGGTTACTTAGTAATAAAAATCTACTACCATGGGGGATGGGGGTACCCATGGTTAAGTCATACCAGAAAAGGTTCACTGAAATAAGGGCGAGTTACTTAAGTCTGCTTGTTGCTGTTATACTCTTGAGTATAGCTATCATTAAATTTATTATTTGGCCTTTACCAGCAGGTCCCTGTGATTTTTCCTCTGAAGTGGGGACAGTTTGTGGCTATTTTTCCTGGAATAAACAAGCTCATCTAAATACAAGACAATATGTAACTGGAAGGAATAAACTGGTCAAACACCAAATTCATAGCCTGCTTACAAGTCCTATTAACCATGATGAAGCTGGTATCTGAGTAAACATGTTTAGGATTATTGTGCTATGATATCCTGTAGAAGTTAAAAATAGTCCTTAGGCCATAATTTTGTCAATTCAAATAGGATTTATCTTTGTGCACCTAACCTAGTTGGATTAAATAGTAGTTCTCCAATACCAGATCTTTAAGTGAACACTTAAAAGATGGCCACTCTTTTCTTAAAATAACCATTACTGTAGACCACCATTACCAATTGACAACTTTTAGTGGAGGCAGGGACCACTGAAGTAATTTTATTAGGAAATGCCAGTGGAAGTGGACAGCCATACAATAATCACGTAATAGGCACAACTGTGTACAATAAGTATATGTTAACACAAGTTTCTGAAGTAGCATATTTCATAGAATAAAGATAGGTCCACAGTCTAAAAACATTCCCAGGATGCAAATTGTGAATTGTGCTTGGAATTCCTATCTTTATTTTTGATGTAGCATTAATATATGAAGTGAACACAATCGCCAGTGAAATACTTCCTGCTAATCAATGTTGAATCAAACTGGTTAACTAAAGAACAGTGCTCCTGATTCTTTTTATGCTGCCAGATCACTAACTGCAGGTGTAAAAATCCTGCCTTAGAAGTGGGTATTTGAGAAGCAGCAGGTGGCTTACTTGTAGTATTCACTTCTGGATACCAGTTGTGCTAGTGGTTGACTACTAATTGCATCAGGAGAAATTACTCCCAGGACAAAGGTTTGCTTCTGAAGGACTAATGATTAAGGAGAATTTTTTAAATATATATAAATAACCTATTGAGTTCTGTTGTGAGAATGCTTGAATCATTTAAGTTTTTGTTTGTGCAACACAGTGTATTAGGAAAAAATGGGTGTTGCCCAAACACTTGTAAATAATAAGAAGAAACACGCCTGTAAATGATGTGCAATAAAAACTGGAAAAATTATATGTGCTTTATCCTCAAAAGCCAATTGACAGCTTGCAGGGCTGTCAATACTTTTATATTTTGAAAAGTCAAATTTTATTCTGTATCAATGTATGGCAGAATAAAGAATGTACATTTTGCACTCTTTAACTGTCATTAATGTTTCTAACACCTTAAGAGATTCCAGAGTTCTCCATCTAGTTCCCTAATTCATTCTCATTGTAAAATACATGTGAGATGGCCTGTATCAGTCAAAGGAGATCAGAATTGTGTGTGTAATCGATGAGTTAATTTAGAAATATTCCTTAAACAACCAGACAAGGATGAGTAAAGTCCAACGAAAAGTAGAATCCTTGTGTTTCATGTAGTTATTGAACAAGATAAATAAATGTTGTACTTGTCTTACAGGTAATTAAACTTCCGTGGCTAGGTGCTACATCCTAGGAAGAGCAAAACTGCACATTTCCCTTGCTTTATGGCATGTTATTCCAGGAGTACTTAACCTTTTGCTTTAATGAAGGTCCCTGCCCTTATTCTACTCTGTCTCTGAAGGTTTAAGGAAATGGCAGCTTTTGTTTTTGAAATGGTAGATTCTCTAGATGCCTTGGGTGTTGCAGCTGTTGGTGGGGGTATTCTGGAAACCTGGTCAATATTTTCAGCCTCAAGAAGAGGTGGGCAATCAGCTGTGTTATTGGCACTCTGCCTCCTGTAGGTTGCTGAGGCACAGGATGGTTGTAGCATTAAGCAAGTCAACCCTCCACAATGACCTCCTATTTCTTTGCTTCCCTTCTCCCAAGTTGCATCCCTTCCCAATATTCACCGGTTTCCGGCCTGAGGAATCATACAGACCACTAAGGGAACCAGCTTACCTCAGTCACACCATTTCAGTGTTCTCAAAAATTTCTTTTGCTTTATTATTATTCATTTTATTTCTGTATCACTTTATATTTTAAAGAAAAAAATTTGGAAGTGGTTTACCACACATTAAAACAGGCATAGGCAAACTTGGCCCTCCAGATGTTTTGGGACTACAACTCCCATCATCTCTGACCACTGGTCCTGTTGGCTAGGAATGATGGGAGTTGTAGTCCCAAAACATCTGGATGGCTGAGCTTGCCTACGCCTGCAAAACATCAAATAAAGCAAACCATGGTAAAACATTACTGAAGAAAGTAAAAAAAAAAAAAGCCAGCATACATCCAAAGCATAATGAACAGGAAACCAAAATATTAGAAGATTTCAAAATAAAATGTTACAAAGGAGGTCAACTACAGAATGTACATTTAACACAATGAAGTACATTTTTATTAAACATGTCAGAAGAAAACATTGTCGCAAGCATAGAACACATCTGGTGCTGTTGCTGTCAATCTTGCCAATGGTAGATCATGGTGAGTGGTGGTCATGGAAGCTCAGACTTAATGACCTGGGTCTGCACTAAGAAACCGCCAAGATAGTCTCCACAGTAGCCTCAGCTTTTTATCCCTCCCAGGCAAGGAGCAGGCCTTCCAGGACTCACAGCTAAGATGGCCTCTGGCTTCTTCAGAACTCTAGCTGAATGGTGCTGCTATGCTAATAAGAGGTACATTGTGATTGCATAAATTATACAGTAT